CCCCCAAGGTTTGGGATGAAACTAAATTGATCTTTGCCTACTTTTCATCAACTCAACTAGACAAGTTCATGGTAAATAGAGAGAAGCAAAGAAATACTAAAGATGAAAGGATTTTCCTCGTCTGGCCTAATCTTGGGCTAAGTCACTCTTAATAACAACAGATGGTATTACTCCCTCTGAAGTCCTGTTTGCTGATGCTATAAATGACTAAAAACTGAGGTTTTAGTGAAAGTGCTGACAAAGACTGTAGGAGATCTTCTCACAAGATGGCATTAACTTCTATTACTGGTAATGGTAAAGGCAGTGTATTTTAGCTGTGTTATAATTACATTGCATTGCCTATAATTCAATATCCAAAAGCATTTTAACCATTCATGGGAAAAAAGAGAAATTTAACACTGAGCAAATTACCAAAGATTATCCTACCAGGAAAATGTATAGTCACTGATAACATTTATTTTTGTCCACAATAAAATTTGAAATCTTTAAATTTCAAAATTTTAAAAAAATTAGGAAGAGTTTTAAAATTAGGTACAGGAAAAAAAAAAAAAAAAAAACCTCAACTGACCTGGCAAAACTTTCCAGCAGCTATTTGCTTAGTCTTGGTAGTTTCTGGTTTGAAAGTTAATTAGCATCAAAGAAGACAGCTGGTACTGATTCAGCATAGATTGCATACTCCCTCCTCCTGCATACACCCTCCTGCTTTTCCCTCTCCCTCCATTGAGAGACCTTCCTAAACATAGCAATTTGCCTCATCCATTGACAGCTCCATTGATGGCTTTCAGATGTCACTAATATTACCGGACATCCAATGCCTTACTCATAATTACAGTATGTTAGAATTGATAAAGATTTAATGCATGTAATAATATAAAAATAGCTATAAAATATCATAATATAAATAGAAATAACAAATATAAATATAAAAAGAATAAATTCTCTATATAATGCTGGACCTCAATATTAGAGAATAAGTAAATAATGAAGTCATCTTAGAACTCAGATTTTCTTGTTTCTAGTTAAGCATTTTTTCAATCTATTGCAAGGGTAGTTGTAGTCCTAAGTGTGGTGATTGCTAGTATTATAATGGAAAAAACAGCATTTGGATTTGGCAAACTCTTAATACATGTTATCTCACCAATCTATCTCTGTGGATTTAATGATAAGCTGCTCTCACCGAAATCCTAATGATGCTGATTAAAAACCTGAAGAAATAAAGAAATAAATACACATTATGTGAGAGACATTACGCACAAAGTTTTATAAACGTTTATTTCAGTTTCATAATAGTTCTCAATTTAAATTTTTGTATTAGCATGTTTATGCAAACAGGAAACAAGGTCCAGAGAAGAAAAATAACTTCTCCAAGATATATAACAAGTAAGTGGTGAAACTGAATTTGAATCCACCTCATTGTTAACTTTCCATCTGAGCAAGCAAATAATGTGTCCACAGTTAAGCAGTGGCATTAGAATGTAGTTTCAAATGCAAGATATCAGATTTGATATCACTTGCGTTTTCCGTAACATTGCACTTGAGACTTTTTAACAGAGGTTCCTGGCATTTTTTTTTTAATGAGAAGAGGCTATTTTTCAATTTTAAAATCTTGAAATTCTAAGTAAGGTATACTTCTTGCCAATATGAATATTTGCTATGTCTCAGAAAGGGGAATTTGTCAACATAAATAAGTTGGAATGTCTATCCAATGTAACATTAATGTCTCCTTTGAAGATTCATATTGTTTGGTTGACAACTTTATTATATGTATTCTCATATACATTAAATGACACACACGTATTGTTTATCTAATCTATCGATCAATCATCTATCAAATAATTATTTGCTTATCTATTATGAATTTAACTCCATGGTGTTGACATGAGTTAAAAATGTATATCTAGGCATTTTTCTTCTGTCTTCACTGAAGTAAATGTTGTGAAAACATATTCATTTATTATCTTTTGTAGCATATGATTAGTTACAATGAATTAATGATCCAATTGGTCATATATAACATTTTGTAATTTATCCATAGAAGGAGGGTGTGCATTGAATTTTCTAAGCATGCAACTCAAAAGGTATTCTCCTTGGTGGAAAAAATACTAAGTTTTAAGAAAGAAATTGGAGGATGTCCTGGGGTCTCAGCCACAGGAGATAAGGGGCTATTGTGTTTTGCTGAAGGGAAATAAAAATAACAATATTACACCAACAATATAATGAAGAAAATGTTCAAGAAATGGAATTTAAGTGTGACCATAGGAAATGCTATAAAGGTATTTCTCCAAGGTGCATCTACAGAGAGGTATCAGATAAAAACATCCCAAGTTATAAAAAATATATATGGTTTTGGAATTCAAGAGGGATAAAATAAAATTAAAAACCCTGCATTGTGATTTGAAAAATCACTTCCATAAGTACAAAACTGACCTAGCAGACATTAAAATAAGTAGATGTGAAAATGCTGAGAACACACTAGTGAATAATGACCTCAAGGAGTTCAAAATTTGCTGGAAGAGATGGCCCTGTGCGTAACACATAATAACTTGCTGAACATGTAGAAAGTGTTTTGAGGTAAGAAAATAAGGATGTCAAGAGTATCACTTGCATATCAGTTTTCACACTGAAAAAAAGGTTTATTTGAATCACAGTTCTACAGGGCTGGAGAGGCCTCAAGAAACTTACAGTCATGGCCCAAGGCAAAGGGGAAGCAAGGCACATATTATTATGGCAGAGCAGGAAGGGTGGGGAGTGGGTACCACCACACACTTTTAAACCATCAGACGTCGTGAGAACTCACTCAATATCATGGAAATAGCATGGGGGAAACCACCCCCATGGTTCAATCACCTCCCACCAGGTCCCTCCCTAACATGTGGGGATTTACAATTTGAGATGAGAATTGAGTGGGGACACAGAACCAAATCATATCAACTTGAAAGATTATTTTAAAGTCATTGCTGATAATAATCCAGTTAACTTTTCTGAGAGATTACAATATGCCAGCTGCTATGCTATGGTAATTGAAGTATTATTTTATACCATTTGCATAATCCAATAAAGCAAATTATTAAATTCCAAAATTGCAATTCAAAATTCTTGAAAGTTGAATTACTTTGTTCAGAGGTATAAGAGATAGCAATAAAACCACCTTCCAGGGCTGTCTAATGCAAGAAATGCTATTTTTGTAACAGAAACTCTCAACTGCTCTCTTTGCCATGCAATCACTGCCAGGTGCCTGTTAATCCATACTGCCCACACATTGAGTTTTTGATTTTTATTAATGTCCAATACAATATAAAGAGTTAATTAGCTGTGGCTGATAAAAATATACAACCCTTTAAAATCTACCTGAATTTATATTAGATTTATTATTATGAATCAAAGACACTAAAAATAGAACCATATTAAGAAAGTTCTCCACTAGTCATATTTTGCTTTTTGTTTTCTAATATACATTTCCCCACTGGACCTTGGTTTCTTTTTGGGCAGTAGCTTCTCAAGGACTCTCAGTATATATGGTTTGTTGAAGCTCACACCCTCATGCGTTCCTCCTTGTTTGGGGAGGATGGCCTATGATCTAGACCTAACAAATTAGTATATTTTATCTCTTGGGTCATAGCAATTGGTTTGAGAACTATTACTCAATTTGTTCCAATAAGACCCAATTGGAGAGTTTAATTAAAGAGAAACTCACTTTTTTCTTTAGTGACTAACCTGCAGAGCATAAACGTTAAGAGATTTTGGTACCGGTGGACAGGTGAAGGAAGTCAACCTCAGAACAGTTTGATATTTGTGTTGATTTAGGGAAAGAATACCAATGACAACAAGAAGACTAAACATGGTGTGTCCCTTGCAATGTATGTGATACATTTATATTAAACATTATTTATTGTCTCTCTGAAAATTAAATTTGAGGAGACATTATTTTATCTGACAACTAAATGCAAAGGAAAGAAAGTCCAATGGCATCATCTGAATTTATAATCTAACGTCACCAAAAGTGAGCTGAGCTTTAGACCTTTAAGTTATGTGATACAAAAGATTGTTTATGTCTCTGGTAACAAGAATTACTGCCTAAGAGGATTTCCTAAAAATAGGAAGAAAATAATTCACATGCTTAAAACTGTTTGAACAACTAATATAAATAGAAGACACCAAAACTTGTTTTGGTATGTTTGTGAGAAAAACGCAAAATAGAAAATGGACTTACACAACATCTTGGAGTTTAAAAAAGGGGCCTTTGAGATCTAATTCTAAAATTATTGCATGTTTGATACATCCAGAATGCAAAGGTCAAGGTTATTTGTCATGAGAAGGGATTAAGCAGCCCAAGTAGAAAAGCCAAAAAGAATCCAAACATAAAATGCTTTGAGTATTTTATATCAATATCTGAAAAAAGAACAAAGTAGTAATGCCAATAATAAATATTCAGATAGAAAAATACTGTAAGAAAATAGATGGAATAGGTAATGATGGAGACTTTTCCAATCAACCTACCCTCAATAATTTCTCCCTCCTATAAATTTTTTTATCACTTAATCATCTATACAATTATTTATTTCCCATTACTGCTTTTCATGTAATTATGTCTCTCATATTATAAAATATGTTTATTCATTATTATTAGATTATAATTTCTGCAGAAACAGTGTCAAGAGAAAACATCTTGGGTGATGACAATGCTTATTAACTTGATAGCGGTGCTGGGTTCGAGGTTGTATGCATATGCTAAACGTGATTAAACCAGACAGTTTCAATATGTGCAGTTTATTGTACCTTAATTATACCTGAAAAATTTTTTTAAAGCATGTGGACTTGGTTGAAAGTTACCTCAAGACTCTAATACCAGGGTAGAAATTAAAGAACAGAGGAATGAGTGCGGACCCAACTAGGTTAGAGAAAGAGCTCAGCTTTGGAGAGGAGGCTTTCTTGAAAAAGATGATGAATAGTTATAAACATAAGCTGCAGTATATTCTGTGCTCCAGAGTTAAAGTAGCCACATCAGGAACTTAGTGGCAGAAACATTCAGGCAGTAGTCAGTATTGTCTGATTCTAGAGATCTGCTTTGGAGTTGATTTATGCATTGGTATATGGTAAAGATAAAGAAATTCCTGACATTTAGTGCTAGAGGAAAATGACAAAATGAGAGACACTGGGAAGTAGCCTCTGAGCTAAGAGAAAAGATAGTAGAGTATTTTTTTCATAAGAAAAAAAAAAAGGTATGTATTTTGTGGAATAGAAAGGGGCACTGTCAAGTGCTACTGACAGATCAAGTAAAACAAAGACATAGGTGGTACTATATCCTGGTACAAGAGAATGAGTTTCATGGTAAGCCTCATCTACTGGCGAGGATAAGATTATGTAATGTACTGCCAGGTTTGATTGAGGATGGCTGAGTGGTTGGAAAGAGCTTGCACCTAAAACCTCAAGTTGAGAAGAGGTGGGACAGGAGAAGTTGAAGACATGAAGCAACTTATTATATTTCCATGCCTCTACACTCCTGGCATAGTGTTCCTGGCATATCAGGCACCTAATACATGTATGTCAATTGATTGCCACATCAATAGACTTAAGGAATTTGCAAATGATAATAGGGTTAAATAATTCATGTGACTCATCTGGAAAAATGAAAGATAAAAGATATGATTAGATTCTAGGAGTCTTTGAAGGATCTGAATTGAGTGAATGCAAATGTCCTTATTAAATGCTTGATATTAATATAAACTTCTCAATATTAATATAAACTGCTTGATATTAATATAAACCTCTCCTTAAACTTGAAAGAGACCATTGTGAATAAATAAAGGTAATAACACTAATTTTTTTTTTAAAAAAGGTTAATAAACAGTTGGACCTATAATGGAAGAAAAAGACTGAGTAAAAAATTAAATGTAATTCAATTACATAAATATTTGGGGAAAATCCCAAGCTCATTTGAGATTGACATTATGCAAAAAAGCTACATGCCCCTATAAAATTCTTCCAATTTTTTTCCCTTAAGAACTCCATGATGAAATTTAGGTAATTTTTAACTTGTTTTTGTTGTTGTTGTTGTTGTTAAAAAACACTTAATTTGACAATAGTGAATTCAGGTTCCAAAATATCTACAATAGTGATTTATAAATAAATTATATATAGATAATTTAGCACATATGTCTGTTTGTTTTTGTGGTATTTAATATAAAACTTACAAATAGTTAAATAGTCATAAGCAGTGTTTCCATAAACAATAACTATTTTTTATTTTACTTTAAGTTCCGGGATACATGTGCAAACACACAGGTTTGTCACATAGGTATACATGTGCCATGGCGGTTTGCTGCACCTATTAACCCATCATCTAGGTTTTTAGACCCATATGCATTAGGTATTTGTCCTAATGCTCTCCCTCCCCTTTCCCCCCAAGCCCCGACAGGCCCTAGTGTGGGATGTTCCCCTCCCTGTGTCCATGTGTTTTCATTTAAACAATAACTCTTGATTAAAAGTATTGAGCATCTAAATGGTTTTATCCAAATCCATTTTATAGGAATCCAAGTACTTTTATTAAAAATATTAAAATGCAAAAACATTCAGTTGGCTTAAAATTCTACTTGGTTTTTCTAGGACTGTCATTCTGTGCCGATGTGTGTAAATGACTTCTATTCTCTAAACACTATCTACATAAATAGATGACTGCAAAGGGGGTTCATCGTCAGTATTTTACTTGACCTGACAGGACAGCCAATGTCCTCCACTTTCTAGTGTCAATGCGCCAGCATCCCCTAGTGGGCATTGTAAAAACTAAAATTTAATTCTACCGATAAGAAAGGTTGAGGATATTTATTAATATATTAAATGTATTTTGTTGGAATTCATTTGCATAATTAAAATAACTTTGCATTTATGAGTGCATACTGTCAATAAAACATTATGTAACTGCAAATAATCTGGTAGGGATGGTAGCCGCTATCATCTATTGCCCTGAAACATTTGTGTATTTAAAAAGTTTACATATGCAGTTTTTAAAATTTATATGTGTGTGTACAAAGTAATTTGAGCTATTCATCATTTATATTTGTTTGAATATTCATAGTTTATATTTGCGTGTTTGATAAACATTTTTTATTGAGGTTTGTGCTATGTATAGTCATGATTACAGACAGGACTTTGACTCTTCACTGGAGTTATTGTGGCATAAAAGACAAGCATGGATTTCTATATGACACTGATTTTATTCAAATCCTAGTTCTCCTGATGATTAACCTTGTGACCTAGAGTAGTTTTTACCCTTTTGGAGCCTTATTTTCTTCATTGGAAAAACAAGGGTAAACATGTACATACTGAGTACAAAGTAGAAATGGTCCAGTCTCTCCCAATATTTTAGGAAAAATTTTCCAGAATCTGATGACATCTATGACAAACAACACATATATTTAAAATGTGTAAATATGTACAGAATTTTAATATTAAACATTAAGAACAATGTAAAAAAGCTAAGGTGTTCTTTTATTTATTTATTTATTTTGAAATGGAGTTTCACTCTTATTTCCCAGGCCGGAGTGCAGTGGCACAATCTCGGTTCACAGCAACCTCTGCCTCCTGGGTTCAAGCAATTCTTCTGCCTCAGCCTCCAGAGTAACTGGAATTACAGACACCTGCCACACGCCCAGCTAATTTTTTGCATTTTAAGTAGAGATGGAGTTTTACCATGTTGGCCGGTTGGTCTGGAACTCCTGACCTCAGGTGACTCACCTTCATCGACCTCCCAAATTGCTGGGATTATAGGCAAGAGCCACCATGCCAGGCAAAACTAAGAAATTCTAAGCATAAAAATGCATTATAGACTGTGCTTTGGGATGAAATAAACACGTGGATATTTATTTTTATAAAAATAAATACATTTTCTGTGTTATCAAAGAATACCTAATGTAGGTTAGCTATCGAAAAGTTTACAGTAAATGCTTATTAATTGATTAATAGAATTTACAGGGGCTCTAACAATAGCCAAGTCAAGTGCTAGAGATTATTTATGAAATGATTTTGAACTTGGGTTTATAGAAAATGCTTCTTTGTGTAATTGTTTGTAAATATGAAAGGAAATCCTGCTAGAATTCATTCATAAGACATTATCTCTTTATGTACAACTAGTTCTGCATATTTTGTCTGAATTAATAAGTTATTTAGAAGTTTAAAGTAAAATGTTATTATGGAAAGCAAGCAAACATTTGAGATTATCAGGCAGATTTCTTTATAGTAAGGTTTTGAGAGATTTATTGAATGACTGAAAAAGTGGGAACAGAAGAAGAGTGAGACACAAAACACTCAATGAGTGCAGGTCACACACACACACACACAGACACATGCACACACACACACAAAAGTCTGAAAAGCAAACTTCATCTTTTGCAGTTATGCCCTGTGATATCTGGAAGCTATCGGAAACGTTTCGGTGAGTGCAATTCAGAATTTCTTGGTTTCATGCTTTATAAACAATCTGGTTTATGGTTCACTGAGTAAAGCAGATCTTCTTTGACCACAATGGTCTGTGGTACAGTAAAGACTTGAACCAAATGGATTGCAACATTCATTCCCATTGGCTATGCTCTTAAGTTACCATATGGTACATGGTATATTTACATATCTGTTAAAGCTTCTATGTTCTCCTCCCTGAAAGATGAGCACTTCCTTTGGCCATCAGCAATCTTTCTTTTATATGCAACATAGTAGACACAACTGGTCAGATTTTTCCAGTAAGTTTGTGATAGTTATAAAGAAAATATTCCAAATATTTGTGTCCATTAGAACCACCTACAGTTATGTGAAAAATACAAGTTTTTTTTTTTCTGTATTTTCTGAGCACAGAATCCTACATTTCCTAATTTAAATGTGTTTGGAAATCTATATTTATAAGATGCAACCAAATTTATTCTTATGGTTTCAAAAACATCATATATAAATTCAATTGATTATATAAAAAAATTATAAAGAGAATGTGAGCTCAGAGAGTTCAATTTAAACATTAAACACTACTAGAAGTCATTAAACAGTGAAATTGTAATGGCAGTCTCCTTCTGATAACTTTAAGTATAATTGTTCATCTTTAAATTAGGATGATGAAACTGTCTTTTTTCCCCCAAAACTGCTCTTGGTTTTAATAGAAAATAAAAAAGGTAACTTAGTAATTCACCTTTTAAAAATACTCTTACTTTATTTTAGCCTGATATAATACTTCCTGTGGAGAGAGAGAAAAGAGAACCACGAAGCTATCAATAGTTCTAAATTTGTTAAATTTAGGAATATAGATATCCTGATTCCATGAAAACTAATGAAAGAGTTGAAGTTTATTTATTAGCAACTTTTTCTTTTACTGTGTAGCAAATTATCATCAAGTTAGCAACTTAAAATGACAAAATTTTATCTCATAGTTCCCTGGGTCAGAATTCCAGGAAATTTTAACTGTGCTCTCTACTTATTTAGGATCTTATAAAGCTGAAATCAAGGTGTTGTCCAGATGTCTGCTTATCTGAAGTCTTGACTAGAGAAAGATATGCTTCCAAGCTCACTCAGGTTTTTGGCAGAATTCATTTCCTTGCAGTAGAATCTAAGGTCACCACTGCATTCTGGCTGTCAGTCAGAAACCACTCTTAGCTTCTAGAAGCCACTCTAAAGTCCTTGCCATGTGCCCCACTCCACCTCAGCAATGGAGAATCTTCTTCATGTTAATTCCTTCTTGCACTTTAAATTTCTGATTCCCATTTTGCTACTAGCCTGAGAAAATTCTGCTTTTAAAGGGCTCATGTGATTAGATCAGTCTCACCCAAATGCTCTCCATATTGTAAAAAATCAACCAATTTGGGGCTTTAATTACATCTTCAAAATCCCCTCACAGCAGTATCTGGAGTGATTTTATTGAATAATGTGGGTATTGGAGCACTGGAATGCCATGCTAGAATTCTACCACAGCAGCTTACACATTGAAACTGTATTTTCAACTTGTAAATGTCTTGGAATATATTACAAAGTCTGGCTCCATACTCCTACTGGACTTCCACAATTTGTACAATTCAAAATGAAGAACATTAGTTCTAAAGAACAGTCAAGAATCACTGTGCAATGTTGTATAAAAACATGTTACTTCTACACAGAGATTTAGAATCTTTTCCGATCAAGATCCTCTTTGAGAATCTTACAAAAGGTTGTAACCTATTTTCCGCTTCTTGAAATGCACACATTTCAGTCATTTTTGGAATTTTAAGAGATTCTGATCTAATGAAAGGGAACAAAAATGAGACTTATCCATTTTCAATATATGCCTCTGATAAACCTATTAGAAAATAATGTTGGTCAACTAATGTTAACGTAAGACTTGATTGACTTATCCAGTGATAGTATAATATACACTTTAGCTCTCTTAGAAACTTTTCTTTTGTTAATCAAAAGAATTTATAATTTTTAAGTTCTAAAATATTTACTTGAAAAATAAAGATTGACTATATTTAGGATGCACAATGTGATGTTTTCATACACATATAGATTGTATTGTATACTCATTACTGCAGTCAAATTAACCATTAGTAGTCATCACTGTCCATGATGTTCATTCAATTTCCAGAACTGGTTCATCCCAGAATTGAAGAATTTTACCTTTTGACCATAATCTTTCCGTTTCATTTACCCTGTCCACACCCTGTATACCATTGTTCTATTCACTGCTTTGAGTTCAACAGCTTTTAGATGCCATGATATGAATGAGAACATACAGTATTTGTCTTTTTATTCCTGGCTTATTTCACTTAGCATAATGCCCTTTGTGCAACTGAAAATGACAGGCTTTCCTTATTTTGGCTGAATATCTTGTTGTATCGATATACCACAAATTTTTTATCCCTGTATCTATCAGTGGACATTTAGGTTATATCTGTATCTTGGCTGTTGTAAATAATGCTGCAATGAACACAACAATGCAGATATCTCTTCTACATACTGATTTCATTTCCTCTTTGACAAACTGATTGTATTTTCTTTGAATATATACTCACAAATGGGATTGTTGAATCTTATGACAGTTCTATGTTAGAATTTTCCTAAAATAAAACAAAACAAAACACAATGAAACAAACTATGCTAGCAGGTGGGATAGACTTCTGATGCTACACCAGCTAAATTTATACTCAAACATTTTTAAAGGAAGTAAGGAAAAGGCTGAATTTAGCCTGACCAGTTGTTGAAAGATATGAATTAAATCCTCTGTTGTTTGCAAACCAGATTATGTGTCCATTCTGAGCATCTCATCCTGTTCTGTTTCTACATTGCCACATAATATGTAGCTAAATATGTCACACCCTCATGACCAAAGGAATTATGATACCTTGGGAAATACCTGAACTAGTCCTAAAAGATAGCTTATTCATCTGACAAAATAACAGTATCTGTTTCTCTGTCTGTAAAATTCAAACTGTAAGTACTGCATTTTCTTATTTATTGCTGAATAAAATATCACATGGAATGAAAGAACAGGGAAATGTACTGAAATGTATTAGGTATCCTCAATGGGTAGCCAGTGCCTGCTGCCTCCAACGTCTGTTAAGGAAGATTTGATCTCTGTCTCTTGAGACACAAAATTGCAGGTCCAGGATGTGTTTTACTGTGTAACAGTGATTATGTTACTTCATGGCTCTGTGGCAAATGCATGCCTGGTTTGTGGAAAGTTGAAAATTAAATACAGACATCAGAAGATTGAGAGTGAAAGGGATTTGTCAGGTGTTTGCACAAAGATGCTAAAGAACTCCCATTAAGCTACATGTTTTAATAATTAAAACATTGCTTTAAATTGGCTTCAAAACTTAAGCCTATCCAGACAAACTAGAGAGGATATTAAGAACTAATTACATTAACGTATTGAAGATCAATTTCTTACGGTTTGGTAGCTTCATATTATTATTTCTTTAAAAATGGTAAAGGCAAATATTATAGAAATGAATCAAAGGATGCTTTTCTAGGGCTCTACATTAATCGTCAGTCCTAAGCAATTTTGTAGTAGACTTTATTGAGTTAGCTCACCTTGGTTTTAGGAATACACGCGGCACCTTTTAGGAAATCTGTGGCACTTCTTGACCAGAAAAAAAAAAAACCAAAATGACATTTTCGTATTAAAAATGATCAGTTTCGAAGTGTGAAGGACTGAATTTCAAAATAGCACTTTCCCATCTGGATGAAAGGTAATATTCACATATGATCAATTATACCTAATCAAATCCAAACAGCATGATTTTTATATTTTAACTTTTTCTTCCTCTAGAAGAATAACATTAATATTTTGATTAAATCAATCATGTAGTGACCCTGAACTTCAAAATGAAGTGAATTTCCACCAATTTCGTTGTGTTGCTAGGAAATTTTGGAGGTTCCTCTTGTTTTCCCACACTAGAGAGAGAGGGCGTGAGTGAGACTAGGCTAATCGCCATGCAGAGTGACATATTATCATTCATATTGTGACACCATTTAATGTACGTTTCAGTGTAATTGGTTTCTTCCATCTTATAGAATCTACAGTATAAATCTTGACTCTTCATTTCAGTGATTGGTTCTAGTTTGTCACATGTAAGAGCAAGGCTGAAGAATATTTTCTTTAAGGAGTTGTATCTGTGGCAACCATGCAAATGCTCCTTTTGAGCTTCCAACTGAAGGGACTGTGGTGGAGCAAGGGTTCTAGCTGCTTGCCTGCTGCATGGAACCAAAATCCATTGCCACATTGACCAAAACCTGTATTTCCCGTAGGCTGCACCATGCAACGGACTGAGCAGCATGAGGATACCAAGACAGGTTTGTTTCTGGGAGCCATAGACTCCTGAGCTGGCTGACTTTGGTTCAAGAACCTCTTGATGGCTTTGCCAAACTGCCTTGGTTTGCAAGCTGTTCAGAATATTTACAACATCTCCCTTTTTCTATCTTCTTTGGGAGTATGACCTACACTGTGCATCAATAGCTGTCCCATTATTCCGTGGCTCTTTTTCCTTCTTCTTCCTTAAGGGTTTTCCCTAAAATATCAGTGCAAGTTTAATCTAGCCATGGAGTCTGCTTCTCAAAGGACCTGAACTATCAGAGTTTTCTATGTGAAGTTATATAATTATACTATTTATAAAACAGATGGAAAGAAAGGAATATTTTCAAATTTTTATAGAATTACAGAGTATTTCAGAATTACATATTTGTACAAACAAAAATGAGTGTAATAATAAAATAACATTGAGAAAGTTTGGGTTCATCTTAACATTCCAGGATCCTATTATGGTGGCAATAGATTAAAAACTATAAGAATGTTTCTTTTTCTTCTTATTGGATTTTATTAAGTCAGATCTTTTCAGCTATCTAAACATCCTTTGTGATGTCCTCACAAAATAATTGAATTTATGGTTTGTATTTGAATTCATAGGCATGGCATGGATGAGTCAAGCTCTATTGCATCTTCAGTTTATTCCAGCTGTGCTATTTGATGTGACTTTTCTTTTGGTTTACCTCCAGCACAACAACCAACCTTAACCAAGCTAAAGGCACCTCAAGCTGCTAACATCAAACATGAAAAAAAAATCTCCAGCTAATAGGATCTATTGACATTACTTTCCTCTTCATATAGGACACAAGCTCAATATTGCTTTCTCAGAATTATGTGGAAAATACCTGCTTCTCTTCTAAATACTGTGGACAATGGTGAGCAAGAAAAGCAAAAGGTTTTAAACATTTTAAAAGCAGAAACCCATTTACAGATACAGTTTTATGATTATAACTCTCAACAGTTATTTCAACTTCTTGACTTAAAGTGTCAGGAAACTCTTAAACTGAATGTAAAAATGATTTATCTTCTTTATGTTCATTTTTAATGAAGAGTTTGGTACTTTAAGTTAAATATTTGAATATGCATATCAGTCACAAACATAATTCTTATGTAAAATACTTTGCGTATGATTTTAATTATGATATGTTTAAATTACATAAATCTTAGATACACTTAAAATTAAATTTGAAACAAATTCTAGTGGAACCATAAAATGTGTAAGTTAGTACTAGCATATTATAGTATAAAAAAATCACTGACTTATTTATGTATATATGCAGACACATTTATATGTATAAAATATGTTATCCTTGCTCACTTATTTTCTTTTAAAGAAATGTGCTGTACACAGACATGGAATCAACCTAAATGCCCATCAGTGATAAACTAGATAAAGAAAATGTGGTACATATACACCATGGAATACTATGCAGCCATGAAAAAGAATGAGATTATGTTCTTTGCAGGGACATGGATGGGTCAGGAGGACATTAACCTTAGCAAACTAAAACAGGTTCAGAAAACCAAATATTACATGCTCTCAATTTTAAGTGGGAGCTGAATGATGAGAACACATGGACACATAGAGAGCAAAAACACACTGGGGACTTTCAGAGGGTGAAAGGAGGGAGGAGGGAGAGAATAAGAAAACAACTAATGGGAAATAGGCTGAAAACCTGGGTGATGAAACAATCCATACAGCAAACCCCATGACACAAGTTTACCTATGCAACAAACCTATACTTGCAGCCCTGAACTTAAAGGTTAAAAAAAATCGTGCTGTAAGAGTGTACTTCCAGGGAGGACAAAATTGCTGGAAAATCAATTCAAATGGTAAATGGCTTGTGGTACACTAATTCAAGCTGAGGGTTTTGCCTATATTTTGCCAAGTAAATTTTTTGTTTAGCTTAAATTGACATAGAATATTTATTATATGGATGTACGAAGCCAAAGTTTGATAAACCTGCATCTCGCTAAACTGATGTTTTCATGGTGTGGTGGAAACAGTTCGACTCTATTTCTGTGCTTTGCCAAATGACATTATCTCTTTTAGCCTAGCTCTCTTCAGTGTAGTTAGCAGTTAGAAGCACAGAGTATAACCTTGACTTCCCCATGTGCATATTTCTTTAATTAGGCCAATTTTCTTACATATTTAATCTTTATTTAAGTATACAGTATTACAGAGTGTTACACCTACCATGTGTCACATGTGTGTGTGCGTGCCTGTGTATGATCTTTATTTTCAAAGATAATGCCGCTGACAGTGGTTTTGATTAATGTGTGGATGTGAATGAGAAAATATATGCATCATTAACAGTGCTTTCCATACTGAACATATTACATTTGTGGTTGCAGGAGCTGTTTGCAAAACCTGTTGTAATTTGCTCTTGCCCTTTTCTGTTTGGTGTGAAATCTTTACCCAGAAAGAACTAACCTAGACTGCGGCAAAGCCTACCTCTAATAAAGGATTCTGCTCTGTTAGGACATAGGACATGCCAGCTGCAGGGATCCAGAGGGAGGGCTGGCAGTTATTTTTTCTATCATTATTGATCTTTTGACTTTATTGATCTTTTTAATTTTTGTGGCTACATAGTAGGTGTATTTTATATAGGACATGAGAGATATTTTGATACAGGCATATAATATGTAATAATGGCATGGTAAATGGACTACACACCACCTAAAGCTTTTATCCTTTTGTTACAAACAATCCAATTATACTCTTTAAGTTATTTTAACATGTTCAATTAAGTTATTATTGAGGATAGTCACTCCGGTGTGCTGTCAAATGCTAAATCTTATTCATTCTCTCTAACTACAGTTTTTGTAGCCAGCATTGTTATTGATATTAGTCTATCATGACTGCAGTTTAGCAGTAGATTTATTGGATGAATTGTTAAAATTGTACAAAACCAGTTTTATCAAACATAGCATAGTTTATTTGATCCTACTATGCTAAAATACAGCATGGTCAGATAAAAATTAACATAGATCGAAAAGGCAAAAATAACAAAAAGCTGTCACTTTTGTGGAAATAACTTATGAATACCACTCATCATTTTAAGCTGTTAAACTATGAATTCAGGATGTACACAATCAAAGTAAGATGCAATGTTAATGTTGTGTTTCAGGAGTTATTTTTGGGTTGTTCAAACTTCGTAGTTTATGGTGAAAACATTTTTCAGACATTGAAGCCAGTGCTATCTATTGATGCTTTCTGTTAATAACTTTATGACACTTCCACATTCTAAGTCCTCACAAAGGCACTGTGAAGATTTACATTCATAACATAACAAGTGTGGAACCCAGAGGGGAGGGTTGTAGCTATGAAATTTACCTCTTAAACCTGTAGCATATCTTTGGCAAGGAAAATAAGTTACATTAAAATTTCCTCCAAGCCCTCCTCACCTTTGAGAAAAATAATGTTCTTAATTCTACAAAAACCTTTAAAAGGCTAGGACGAGTCCAAGAATCTGCCAAGAAGGGAAAACTACCAGGTGTTTAAATGGCAAGTATCCATGGGATACAGTTGAATGAATAAAGATGAATGGAGATGAAACATTGAGTTTGAAATAAATTCAAGTGAAAATTAATCCAGACTATGACTGAAATATAATTTAATCTGTTCATTTTACTCTAGTTAACCCCCACATATAAAAATATGTTCCAAGAAAACAGGAACTTGGTATAATGTGGATTGCAAAAACATATGGTCCGTATCCAACAAGAAGTGTCAACCTCAAAACCGAGTAAAGTAGTGCTCCCACTAGACAAAAATTAAACTTGGGAAGCCCATTAAGTGCACAGCCAGAAAAAAATACAATGTATATTACAGGAAATGGGAAGATAAACCAAATAGAAAAAGATAAAAGATGAAGTTGCAGATTTCATAAGAAATTTTACCAGTATAGGTCTTTATCTTTCACAGATAGATAATCATACCTATGATGGAAAACTATAAGCAAAAGATTAGCACAGTACAAAATACTTTTCAGTTTCTATTTCTTTGTTATTTTTCTTTTATAGGAAACAAAATATCAATAGAAGTGTAACTGGAGGTTGGTTGGGATGAAGCCCTCAGCAGATCATATCTGCAGGAAACATGTTTTTTCCTTGTTTCTAGTGGCAAGTTATGTAGGCATTATCTTGGATTTTCTGAGAGGTGTGATTTCAAATATTTTCTTTGTTTTAAACCATGTGTCAAGGATTGAGTTTTGGTACATAAATAGTTTAGCATTTGCAGTTCTCTGAGAGATAGTGTATTAGGGTTCTCTAGACAACGAAAGCAGTTGGGTGTGTCAGTGTGTGTGTGTACATGTTTGTGTGTATGTATGGAGAGAAGAAAAAAAAAGAAGATAATTTATTTTAAATAATTTAAAAGAATTCCAGTAAATAATATATATAACATAGAAAATATGTGGTAATTGACTGTTTATGTTATCATTAAGGCCGCTAGTCAACAATAGGTTATTAGTAGTTAAGTTCTGGGGGAGTCAGGATTTATCCACACGTTTTTAACTGCCTACAGAGTTGTGCCCTTCACGCCGATGTTGGTGAAGGGTAACTGTACTAAATTTAAAATACAGTGATTCTTAAATAGGTCACATACACACATATAAAATTACAACACATGTTCTGTGTTGA